CCGATTTTTTGGAGGATGGTCCAGAGAGCGCTGCGATTCACTGTGTCGAATGCCTTTGCAAGGTCGATGATTGCCATGTAGAGAGGTTGATTTTGTTCCCTGCATTTTTCTTGGAGCTGTCGTGCAGTGAAGATCATGTCCACACTTCCTCTGGAGGGGCGGAAGCCGTTCTGGGATTCTGGGAGGGTGTCTTCTAAGAGGGGCAGAAGGCGGTTTGAAAGGATTCTTGAAAATCCCAGCAGAAGAACGTGCGCCCAGTATCATCTTCCCCACACCACATTTCACTTTCCCACCCCAAAATAAGAGTGCAAGACCCCCCCCCCCCCCCCGGTCTGTGCTTCTCCTGCTGCTCTCAGTTCCTTTATCTCTTGTCAGTCTCAGCTTCATCCTTTGTTTCTCGTCCTCACTCTAGGCCACGGCCAGATTTCTTCTACCGCTGCTTTCCAGATGGCCGGGAAACCCTTCAGCTACTATGCACAGGTGATGCAGACGTGGTGACCGAAGGGCGCAAGAGTTTCCCCAGCGGACATTCCTCATGTGAGTATCTGTGTCGTTTGGTAGGTTGCAGCCAGGCTCAGGAGTTGAAGTTCACTTTTTCTACACAGTATTCAGGAGCAAATCCCTGAAAGATCAGTTTTTCCGTTTTTGAACCACTCAGGACGACGTTCACATTTTTATATATATAGATGAACCTGTCATATGACATCATATTTGAAGTTTCAACAACAATAACATAATACTTTGTGTACCTCACATTTCTGGGCACCACGATTCAAGAAGGATATTGATAACCTGGAATGTGTGTCCAGAGAAGAGCGACTGAAGTGGTCAAAAGCTGGAGCGCACTGGCTGAGGATTCCCAATGCCCCTTTATACAATGCACATCTCACAGAAAAGGCCAGGTTAATAACTGGGGCGGCATTCAGGGAGCACACAACTCGCATGTTACGCCAGCTCCACTGGCTGCCAGTTTGCTACTGGGCACAATTCAAAGTGCTGGCTTTGGCCTATAAAGCCCTAAATGCCCCCGGCCCAATTTACCTGTCTGAACACATCTCCCCCTACGAACCATTGTGGAGATTAAGATCCTCCGGGGAAGCCCTGCTTTCCATCCCGCCATTGTCACAGACCCAATTGGTGGAGACGAGAGACAGGGTATAACGAAATTAAAAGATATCTCTGGGCAGGGGGGACAAAGAATCCCACCTCTGCCCCCAAAGCAAGGGATGACAAAGTATTATAAAAGACCGATGTTATTGGTAGTATTAGCCGCCACCACCTCAGCTTTATTGGTCTGAGAAACCAAAGGTGTGAATGTGTTTTAGGTAAGGTGTGTTTGCCCTTGGATTTTCTATTTGCTTCTTCACTGGCTGACTGGACTTTAAAAGTACTTGACAAACTGAAGCTGACACCAGTTAAAAGTGAACTAGAAAAGGTTTATTGAGCTTTAAACAAACATCTACTCATAGAGTGAGCGGTACAGAAGCGTAATTCAGTTGCTGAGACTTAGTTGTATTAAACAGTTAATTCTACTGACCATGAAGCTTTTAAAACTGTGAGTTTCCTTAAACACACTGTTCTATCCTTAGAAACAGTAACTCTTAGAAAACAGACTCCTGTCTGTCTCACACACAGGGCAATAAGATATTTTAAACTTCTCCTAAGCTTAATAAGACAAAACTCTCTTTTACTGGTCCTCTCAACACAGTAAAACCCTAGCCTTTGTCTTAACCTTATTCCCTAACCTTAAGGCTCACTTTAAAAACTCTTCTTTCCTGTCAGAACCCTATTTTAGCTTCCTCTCCTAAAGTCCTATCCTTCTGTGGCTGATGTTAAGACACTTCTCTCTCTGTCAAAAGCTGACAGACTTTTTCCCTCTCTCAGCCGACTCCTCCCCTAATTGCTCTACCCAATCAGGAGTCGGCTTGACTCCTCCTCCTGCTACTGCCTGTCTTCCAAGATGACAGCTACTGATATTCAGGCTTTGGTCTGGTCGCCTAAAAGGTAGATTTCACTACACAGGGCCTTCTCGGTGATTGCTCCCCGGCTATGGAACTCCCTTCCTGGTGAGATCCGGTCGGCCCCCTCTCTCCTGTCCTCTAGAAGGATGGTCAAAACTTGGCTGTGGGACTAAGCTTTCAGGACAGGGCAATAAAGCAGCAATAGAAAAGATGACCAGGCCAATTAGATTTGACGTGGATGACTAGGTCGGTTTTAAAAGGTGTATTTTAATATTTTGATAAATGTTTTTTAATGTTTATGTATGTGTATGTGAATTTGTGTCCCGGCATTGAATTTTTGCCGTGTATACGCTGTGCTCCGCCATGAGTCCCCTTTGGGGTGAGAAGGGCAGAATATAAATGTTTTAAATAAATAAATAGTGTGAAAGTGTCCTTAAACAAGAGCATTGCTAAGTAGAGTCATCCTAGTTTGCATTGTTGGAGGTTATGATGCTTCTTCCCATGTTTCAGTTGCCTTTGCAGGCTTGGCCTTTGGTTCCTTCTACATTGCCGGGAAGCTGCGCTGCTTTGCTCCAGGTGGACAGGGCCAGTCCTGGCGCCTCTGTGCCTTCCTCGCCCCCCTCTTCGTCGCCATGCTCATTGCTTTGTCCCGCACCTGCGATTACAAGCACCATTGGCAAGGTGAGTGGACTCTTGGTGGAAAGATTTGAGGGCTTGGGGGAAAATTCACCTTAATTTGTAGGAATTATAGTTCACCTACATCCAGAGAGCACTGTGAACCCAAACACCAAGAGATCTGCACCAAATTCGGCATACATACCCAATATGGCAAAATGTGAATACTGGTGGGTTTGGGAGGGAATTGGCCTTGACATTTGTTAGTTGTGGGTACGGGGATTTATAGTTCACCTGCAATCAAAGAGCACTGCACCCCAGTGATAATAGGCCTGGACCTAACTTGGTACACAGAACCCCCATAACTAACTGAAAATACTGGAGGGGTTTTTTTTTGGGGGGGGGGCTGATTCACCATAGTGGGAGTTGTAGTTTATCCTGCAGCCAGAGAACACACGAAACCCCATCAATGATGCATCTAGAGCAAACTTGCTCAACATAATAAACTTTTAAGTATTTATGAAGTTTCAGGGGGTTAACGTAGCATAATGTGAGTTGTAGTTCACCCACAACCTTATGCATTTTGTGAAATAATAAATGACTTTTTCAAATAATCCGGGTGATGCCGAATACCCAAGCTAGTCTATATAAATAAAAATGTAATGTTCATTTGTGGGATTAACAGAACTCAAAAACCACTGGGCGAATTGACACCAAATTTGGACACAAGACACCTAACAACCCAATGTATGTCCTTCACTCATAAAAAACACTGAAAAACACAGCAGAAGGGACTTAAAAAGCCCAAATAAGCTAAATGACGAAAAGCTAAATGACAATACCGAAAAAAGGGAATAAAGAGGGAGGGAATGGGAGAGAAAAAAGAAAGAAAGAAAGAAAGAAAGAAAGAAGGAAGGAAGGAAGGAAGGAAGAAGGAAGGAAGGAAGGAGGTAGAGAAGGACGAAAGGAGAGAAAGAGGGAGGGAAAGAAAAATGGGGAAGGAAGGAAAGTTCGAAAAGGAAGAAAAGAGAAGGAAAGAAAAAAGAAAAGAGGGAGCGAAGAAGGAGGAAAGATGTAGAGAAAGAGGGAAAGGAAGGAAAGAGGAAAGAGAAGCAAGAGAAAGAAAAGGGGAAAGAAGGAAAGAGAAGAGAAAGAGGAAAGAAGAGAAGGAAGGAAGGAAGGAAGGAAGGAAAGAGGTAGAGAAGGACGAAAGGAGAGAAAGAGGGAGGGAAAGAAAAATGGGGAAGGAAGGAAAGTTAAAAAAGGAAGGAAAGAGAAGAAAAGAGGGAGCGAAGAAAGGGGGAAGATGTAGAGAAGGGGAAGGAAGGAAAGAAGGAAAGAGAAAAGAGACAGCAGAAGAGAAAGAAATAGGGGAAAGGAAGGAAAGAGATAGAGAAGGAAGGAAAAAGAGAAGACGGGAAGGAAGGAAGGAAAGAGGTAGAAAAGGAAGGAAGAAGAGAAGACGGGAAGAAGGAAGTAAAGAGATAGAGAAGAAAGAAAGGAGAGAAAGAGGGAGGGAAAGAAAAATGGGGAAGGAAGGAAAGTTCAAAAAGGAAGGAAAGATAAGGAAAGGAAAAGAGGGAAGAAAAGAGGGAGCGAAGGAAGGGGGAAGATGTAGAGAAAGAGGGAAAGAAGGAAAGAGAAAAGAGAGACAGCAGAAGAGAGAAAAAGGGGAAAGTAAGGAAAGAGAGAAGGAAGGAAGAAGAGAAGACGGGAAGGAAAGAAGGAAAAAGGTAGAAAAGGAAGGAAGGAAGAAGAGAAGACAGGAAGGAAGGAAAGAGGTAGAGAAGGAAGGAGAGAAAGAGGGAGGGAAAGAAAAATGGGGAAGGAAGGAAAGTTCAAAAAGGAAGGAAAGAGGGAAGAAAAGAGGGAGCGAAGGAAGGGGAAGATGTAGAGAAAGGGAGGGAAGGAAAGAAGAAAAGAGAAAGAGAGACAGCAGAAAGAAAAAGGGGAAAGGAAGGAAAGAGATAGAGAAGGAAGGAAGAAGAGAAGACGGGAAGGGAGGAAGGAAAGAGGTAGAGAAGGAAGAAAGGAGAGAAAAAGGGAGGGAAAGAAAAATGGGGCAGGAAGGAAAGTTTGAAAAGGAAGGAAAGGGAGAAGGAAAGAAAAAAAGGAAAAGAGGGAGTGAAGGAAGGGGGGAAGATGTAGAGAAAGGGGGAAAGAAGGAAAGAGAAAAGAGAGACAGCAGAAGAGAAAGAAAAAGGGGAAAGGAAGGAAAGAGATAGAGAAGGAAGGAAGAAGAGAAGACAGGAAGGAAAGAGGTAGAGAAGGAAGGAGGGAGGGAAAGAAAAATGGGGAAGGAAGGAAAGTTCGAAAAGGAAGGAAAGGGAGAAGGAAAGAAAAAAGGAAAAGGAAGAAAAGAGGGAGCAAAGGAAGGGGGAAAATGTAGAGAAAGGGGGAAGGAAGGAAAGAAGGAAAGAGAAAAGAGAGACAGCAGAAGAGAGAAAAGGGGAAAAGGAAGGAAAGAGAGAAGGAAGGAAGAAGAGAAGACGGGAAGGAAGGAATGAAGGAAGGAGAGAAAGAGGGAAGGTTGACTACAGCAACGTATGGCGGGTACAGCTAGTTTTAAATAAACATGTTATATAGAGTTGCTAGTCAGCCATAAATGAAATTCTCTTTGCCTTCTCCATTCTTGTGTTTCCTTCCAAGATGTGCTGGTTGGCTCCGCGATGGGCCTTGGCTTTGCGTACTTGTGCTACAGGCAGCATTACCCTCCGCTGACGGATCCCGAGTGTCATCTGCCGCTACAGCGCAAGTCTAGACTCTCCAGCGCCGAAAGGCAAAAGCTGACACTCTCTGGCTTCAGCTTAGATGTATAAAGTCCTAGAGGAGCCCCCTCCCTGCATGCCCTCGGACCCAGAAGAAGGGCGCAGAGGTCCAACTTATCCTGTGCCTGGAAGGAAGAAGTACCAGCAGTCCTTTCCTCGTGGGGTTTTGCAACAAGGAGGAGTGGGGTGAGACTTTCCTTGCATGGCAAACAAAGGAGGCCATCCGCCTGCTTCTCCCAGGCAACGAGATCTAGCATCAAAGGCTCAGGATGAGGCTGAGCCTTTGTAGCCATCACTTGTCAACATTGCAGTGTCAAAATGATTCCTGGAGGGTCAATCTATATAAATAAAAAAAGTAATGTTCGTTTGTAGGATTAACAGAACTCAAAAACCACTGGACGAATTGACACCAAATTTGGACACAAGACACCTAACAACCCAATGTATGTCCTTCACTTAAAAAAAAATGATTTTGTCATTTGGGAGTTGTAGTTGCTGGGATTTATAGTTCACCTACAATCAAAGAGCATTCTGAACTCCATCAACGATGGAATTGAACCAAACTTGGCACACAGAACTCCCCTGACCAACAGAAAATACTGGAAGGGTTTGGTGGGCATTGACCTTGAGTTTTGGAGTTGTAGTTCACCTACATCCAGAGAGCACTGTGGACTCAAGCAATGATAGATTTGGACCAAAACTTGGAATGAATCCTCCATATGCCCAAATGTGAACACTGGTGGAGTTTGGGGAAAATAGACCTTGGCATTTGGGAGTAGTAGTGGCTGGGATTTATAGTTCACCTAAGGGCATTCTGAACTCTACCAATGATGGAATTGAACCAAACTTGGCACACTGAACTCCCATGACCAACAGAAAATACTGGAAGGATTTGGTGGGCATTGGCCTTGAGTTTTGGAGTTGTAGTTCACCTACATCCAGAGAGCACTGTGGACTCAAACAATGATGGATCTGGACCAAACTTGGCACGAATACTCAATATGCCCAAATGTGGACACTAGTGGAGTTTGGGGGAAATAGAATCTTGACATTTGGGAGATGTAGTTGCTGGGATTTATAGTTCACCTACAATTGCAGAGCATTCTGAACATCACCGATGATAAAATTGGGCTAAACCTCCCACACAGAATCCCCATGTGGGCCACAGCAACGTGTGGCAGGGGAAGGCTAGTAATAGTCTAAAAGACAAGCTAATCTGACCCCCTGTCCCAAGGCCAGGATATCCACAAGCATGTTGTCTCCTCACATCTTGATGTAATGTAGTCCCAAGGAGTGGGTCACAAGCTAGCACCCAATGAAGGCAGGTCATAGTTCCAGAAGGACAAGTTTTCTCCCAAAGGAAGGGGAAAACAATGGACAGTGTAGCAGACAGCATCACAATCTAGAGCTGGGAGAACGTTGTGGTCCTCCAGATGTTTTTGGATTGCAGCCCATTGGCTGTGATGGCTGAAGATGATGGGAATTGCAGTCCCACAGCATTTAGAGCAGTGTTCCTCAACCTTCCTAATGCCGCGACCCCTTAATACAGTCCCTCAAGTTGTGGTGACCCCGAACCATCACATTATTTTCATTGCTACTTCATAACTAATTTTGCTACTGTTATGAAACGTAATGTAAAGATTTGATATGCAGGATGTGTTTTCATTCACTGCACCAAATTTGGCACAAATACCCCATATGCTCAAATCTGAATACTGGTGGGGTTGGAGGAAATTGATTTTGTCATTTGGGGGTTGTAGTTGCCAGGATTTATAGTTCACCTACAATCAAAGAGCATTCTGAACTATACCAACGATGGAGCTGAACCAAACTTGGCACACAGAACTCCCATGAGCAACAAAAAACACTGGAAGGGTTTGGTGGGCACTGACCTTGAGTTTGGGAGTTGTAATTCACCTACATCCAGATACCACTGTGGACTCAAACAATGATGGATCTGGACCAAACTTGGCACAAGCACTCAATATGCCCAAATATAAACA